CAGCTGGGCGTCCCCGCGGGCTCTGAGGGTCCGTGGCTCAGCTGCGCGTCCTCGCGGGCTCTGCAGGGTCTGTGGTTCAGCTGTCGGTGAGCTAACCTCGAACGAGGAGCTCTGTAGGAGCAACATCCCCAGCACCTGCCGCGGGAAGGACCCCTCCCCACCACGCTACACACTCTTTGCACACAGCGTAGCGAAGCTGACCTGCCAACCGGCCGCGTGGCCTAATGGATAAGGCGTCTGATTCCGGATCAGAAGATTGAGGGTTCGAGTCCCTTCGTGGTCGTTGCCGTTATTTTCCTCCCCTGCCGGAGGGTAAGGCGCGCACGACCCCTCCCGTCTGCTGGGCAGCCTTTCTTTCTCATTTAACAAGCGCACGCCGCCCTGCGCTGTGCGACACTTGATTCACCAACTGACAAGCCGCAAGCAGCAGGTGTGTCCTCAAGGCAGTTCCTTTCTAGTAGACCCGACAGATGACGTCAAGTAAACAGAAACACAACGACTGAAATTTGTTGGAAGTCCTAGGAAGGAGATAAGCGACGGGCTGAGATCAAGAACAGAGTATTGCTGGCAGAAGGAAAAACTGCTAACTCGTGGACAACCTGGAAACACCTGCTCTTCCCAAAGCTCAGATCACTAAACTTTTGTTTTGGGGGGCGGGGGCCGTGGGGAGGAAGAGTTCACTTAAAAAAAAAAAATCAGTGAAAGGGGGGTAAGGGTGAGTTGAATTTCTAGGAACAAGATCCCTGACTAGGATTCCCTATGACTGTGGCTTTGCACTTGGTCTGAAATTGGTGTTCTCCAGATTTTCATTAGTTACCATAAATACAACACTACCTCCCAAACAGTGATCTCAGAAGCCTAAATAAAGACAGAAGCCACTCAAGGCTTTTTTATCCTAAACTGAACTGTCCTCCTGAGCAACTACTATTAGTTGAGTCATGATGGGTTCAGTTTTACCAAGGGTGCAAATGCCATAAATAGATCTGAACAGCAGGGAGGTTCCTCCAAAAATTAAAAATAGTACCACTAAAAAAAAAAAAAAAAAAGATCCAGCAATTCCACTTCTGGTTATATATCCAGAAGAATTGAAAGCAGTGTCTCAAAGATGTATTTGCACACCCATGTTCCCAGCAGCATTATTCACAATAGTCAAGAGGTGAAAGACGCCCACATATCCTTGGAAGGATAAATGGATAAACAAAATGTGGCACATACATACAGCAGAATATTACTTTGCCTTAAAAAAGGAAGGAAATCCCGTCACATGCTACAGCTTGGAACCTTGAGCTTGTTAGTTAAGTGAAATAAGCCAGTCACAAAAAGACAAATACTGTATGATTCCACTTATACAAATTTCTAAAATAGTCCAATTCATAGAAACAAAGTAGAATGGTGGTTACCATTCTGTGGGGGAAAGGAAACTGGGGAATCGTGTAATGGGTATAAAGTTTCAATTTTGCAAGATAAAGAGTTCTGGCGATCTATTCCACAATATGAATATACTTAACGCTACTTACCACACTTAAAAATGGTTAAGATGGAAAATTTTATGGGTTTTTAAATCACAACTAAAAATACACATAAATAAATATGTATCTTTTTAAAAAAATCACTTGGTCATAAACATATGGGTTTGTTCCTGAACTCTCAATTCTTTTTTTAATTGTTTTTAAAATTTAATTCCAGTATAGTTAATATACAGCGTTATATTAGTTTCAGGTGTACAATGTAATGATTCAACAATTCCATACATTACTCAGTGCTCACCATGATAAGTGTACTCTTAATCCCCATCACCTATTTCCCCTTTCCCCCACCTCCTCCCTTCTGGTAATCATCAATTTGTTCTCTATAGTTAAGAGTCTATTTCTTGGTTTCTCTCTCTCTCCTTTGCTCATTTGTTTTGTTTCTTAAATTCCACATATGAGTGATAGCATATGATAATTTTCTTTCTCTGACTTATTTCACTTAGCATTATACTCTCTAGAGTGAGCCTTGTTGTTGCAAATGGCAAGATTTCATTATTTTTGATGGCTGACTAATATTCCATTTGTATATATATCACATCTTCTTTACCCATTCATCAGTGGATGGACACTTGGGCTGCTTCCATAATTTGGCTATTGTAAATAATGCAGCAATAAACATCAGGGTGCATGTATCCCTTCAAATTAGTGTTTTCATATTCTTTGGGTAAATATCCAGTACTGCAATTACTGGATCATAGGGGAGCTCTATTTTTAACTTCTTGAGGAGCCTCCATATTGTTTTCCAGAGTGGCTGCACCAGCTTGCATTCCCACCAACATCCTCACCAACAGGTGTTATTTCTGTGTTTTTGATTTTGGTTGTTCTGACCAGTGTGAGGTGATATCTCATTGTGGTTTTGATTTGCATTTCCCTGATGATGAGCATCTTTTTATGTGTCTCTTAGCCATCTGTATGTCTTCTTTGGAGAATGTTCAGGTCTTCTGCCCCTTTTTTAAATTGGATTGTTTTTTGGTGGACTCCCAATTCTATTCCATTGGTCTGTATGTCTGTCCTTACGTCAGTACCACACAGTTTCGGTTACCTTAGTTTTCACTAAGCTTTGAAATCAGAAGTGTGAGCCCTCCACCTTTGTTCTTCTTTCTCAAGATTGCTTCAGCAATTCATATTGCAATTTAATATGGATTGGAGGAATGGCTTTTTCTTTTCTGCAAGAAAAGGTTGTTGGAATCTTGATAGGGATTATATTGATCTGTAGACCACTTTGGGTAGTATTAACACCTTAACAACATTTGTCTTCCTATTTAGGAACACAGGATGTCCTTTCTGGGTCCTCTTTCATTTCTTTCGGGAATGCTAGTATACCAGTCTCTCACCTCCTTGGCTGAATTCATTCCCAGGTATTTTATTCTTTAAGTGCTATTATAATTGGGATTGCTTTCGTAATTTTCTTTATGGATTGCTGTTCATTGCTGGTAGATAGAAACAGAACTAATTTTTGTGTGAGTGTCTTGTACTCTGCAACTTTGCTGAGTTCATTCGTTAGCTCCTGCGGGTTCTTTGGGATCATGTCTTCTGTGAATAGAGACAATATTATTCTTTCTTTCCAATTCAGGTGCCTTAGATGGATTTTTCTTGTCTAATTGCTCTGGTTGGAACATTCAGTACAATGTGAATGGCATAGTGGTGAGAGAGGCATCCTTGTCTCATTCTTGATCTTAGGGAGATTCAACATTGAGGATGATGTTCACTGTGGGCTTTTCATAAATGCCCTTTATCATGTTGAGGAAGGGCATGCTGTTTTAAGTGGTGAATCACAGTCTCTTTTTATCTCATGTTCCAAGAAAGGGGGATATCCGTAATAAAACTGGATGAAATGTAGTTAAAATAGGAATACTGTGTCATTTCAACAAATTCTACATCAAATTTATTAAAAAATTGAAGGATCCCAGAGCAAAGAACTAGCTGAATTCTCTACTAGAGAAATCAAGTTTGGATACTTGTCCTGGGACATTCTTAGGAGCCTTCTGCTGCTGGCACCCACTCACCTCATTTACGCTCACTCGACAATGGAGGTATCAGGTACTTCGGTCACCGGTCCTCCGCACCTACTTTCTATGCTGAACATTCTGCCTCTTTTAAAAATGTATCTTCATTTTTAGTGAAGCAGGAGGTATCCACAATTCAGTTGAATTTTAACTTGACTTTTCAAATCTTAGACATGCTTTACCCTGGGGAATATTGGCTTCACAATGATATGAACTCAATTGTTAGGATGAAATCTACCAGTCCAAGGATAGCTTAGTCAAACCCGCATTTCCTGCTTGATTTAATTTTTAATATTTTTTCTTTTAAAAATATGAAATGCTTCATGAATTTGCATGTCATCCTTGTGCGGGGCCCACGCTAATCTCTGTTCACTTTAACTCTGGTATGTGTGTGCCCAAACCAGCACTATTCTGTATTATTTTACTCACACATTAAAAGCCAAAGTCAGGTGCTGACCTTCTATTATCCTCCGAACAGTCTTAGTGAGTACACAACCATGTGGCCTGGCCTACGTCCATCAGATTCACTTACAAGCAAGGTGCTCTGTGCAAAGACCCAAGGAAAGAAGGAGAACTGATCTGGGAATTGAATGCTGGGGGCAGGCAAGTGATGACCCCCAGAGAGAACTGCTACTATTTCTCTCACAATCCACGGGTTGTCCTTAAAGCACTGTCCACCTAAATTCTTATTCTGCTAAGAGCTCTATGCTTCTAAAGGATGAAGAAGAGGGGCACCTGGCTGGTCAGTTGGAAGAGTGTGTTACTCTTGATCTTGGGGTCATGAGTTCAAGCCTCATGTTGGGTGTAGAAATTACTAAACAGAAAAAGAAAGAAAGAAAGAAAAGAAAGAAAGAAAGAAAGAAAGAGAAAGAAAGAAAGAAAGAAAGAAAGAAACTTTAAAAAAGAGAGTGAGGAAGTGAGATGGAGGGAAGCCTGAAAGGCTGTCGGCAGGGGACACTGGTTTTTAACAACAAACACCAAAAACGCATTTGGTAATGTATTCACACACCTACAGGGAAAGAAGAAAAAGGAGACCATGCAATGAGTTGCCACAAAATTACATTTACTTAACTTAAGGATTTTTATTCTTTGGGCATGTGCTTTTCAGTTCTGATATTTAAAATGCTTTTCCTTTTGATTTGACACTTTAGAAATTAATGATTAATAAAAGTTGTAGTTTCAGACTGGACGGCTTTATATTTATCTAAAACATATCAAGTCCAAATTCGAAATAACTGGTTGCAAAATAGTTTCATATCAGATTACACAGGACAAAAGGCATTCAAAACAAAGGTCATTTGGGATAAAAAGGAAGGGCCCAGCTTTCTGCCTTTTTTGGAGCTTCTCACCATATAAAATGATTTCAAGGACTGTCCAATATTTGGCTTTTCAATAGCCACACACAGTAAATAAAATAAAATACTATATGTAACTGCATTTCACTACTTACACAGCCGAGTCTGCAAGTAGACTGAGCTTTCCTGTGGGCAGCTAAGTTTTATTGTAGTAAGTTTGTACTGAATGAAATTGTAATTAAGCTGGGAAAGGTCAGATTTCAGATAAGCAGGTTAGAATAAGCTTCCAGCAGTTTAGAGTAAGCGTCTGAGGGGACCACAATCTCACAACGTGCTGGCTTTGTGCAGACGTGCAGAGGGCAAGAAGGTACAGGAGCTGAGAGGAATCACCACGGATGAGCAGAGCTGAACAGGGCTGTGACCTCAGTGCAATTCCAGAAGGACAAGATGCAAGGGATACAGAAGGAGAAAGCACGCAGAACACCCAGAGGAGAGTAAACCTCAGGACGCTAAAGTTAGATGCAGAGCAATAAACGTGAACTTTATTGGTACGATTTTCGGGGTAGTGTGCTTCGTGCTGGTCATTTGACGGTGAATGAAAGATACAATTTCTTTCTCAAGGAGATGAACCTAGAGAGGAAGAGAGCCAAAGAGACAACTAAACTTATGACAGCAGCATCCGCAGGGTGGTTTGGGGGCCACACAGAGGAGGGCGCGGAAGAGGTCTGAGGACCAGGGGTGTGTGTGAGACAGACAGACAGACAGACAGACACTCAGCAGCAGCATGCTGTGGTCTGGCTGGTGCATGCACACGCACACACGAGGTTGGGGTGTGCAGAAGGCGGAATTTCCACACGGAAACTCACACACGGTTCTGACGCCCTTGCAGGTCAAGCACAGGAGAATCACTCTCCCCTCTTTGCACGTCGCCCGAGGCTTCACTCTGCCCACAGCCCAGGGTAAGCAGAGCCTGGCTGCTTGGCGGTGAGGGGACCAAGAAAGTGTCACAGGGATGACAGGATAATGAGTTATGAACAATGCTGTGCTTGGCGGCGAGCGAGTTCTGAGTTCTGTCCTAAGCACTTGTGTTTCCAGCACCGCAGGGGCTCATGCAGCTGATGTTTCTCACGCCAGAAGTTCTACTGTCAGGAAATGATGTGGTAAAACAATGAAAGTAGCTTTTGCCTGGAAAACAATTTGAGCTACCTCAGTAAATTCATTTTAAGTTGAGTTTCATCAGAAGAGAAAAATAGTGTTAATGGTCACTGATCACCAACAATCACACGATGAATAATGACCTGCACGGAGGCAAGCTTTCACTTTCCACAGTTATTGCAAATCATGACCGCTATAGAGACAGGGCTGTTTTACAGTTCAGGTGGAGAAAACATGTAATACTATCTCTTCACATGGACAAAAGATAAACTGAGGCATATTAAACACTTTAAGAGTTTATTTGGGCAAAAAGTGATTTGGATCAGGCAGCACCAGACCTGAAGTGGGTAGGAATGTTGCACCAACAGCTCAGGGAGAGACCCTTAAGAAAGCAGAAGCAGGGGCACCTGGGTGGTTCAGTTGATCTCAGCTCAGGTCTTGATCTCAGGGTCCTGGGTTCAAGCCCCACATTGGGCTCCATGCTGGGTATGGAGCCTACTTAAAAAAAAAAAAGATAAAGCCTCCTCGGCTGTTTGCAACTATTGAATATAATTTCATAACCTTGAAGCATTGATAGGCTTAGACTTTGGCCTACTTACATAAACCACCAGAGCATCAGACCCCTCAGTCTAATGGCCTCCTTCTTTAATCCACTTATCACTACATGGCATTAAGATAAAAGAAATTCATCACTTTTTTTTTAAAGATGTTATTTATTTATTTGACAGAGAGAGACATAGCGAGAGAGGGAACACAAGCAGGGCGAGCAGGAGAGGGAGAAGCAGGCTTCCCACTGAGCAGGGAGCCCGATGCGGGGCTCGATCCCAGGACCCCGGGATCACGACCTGAGCCGAAGGCAGACGCCCAACAACTGAGCCACCCAGGTGCCCCAAATGCATCACTTTTGATAAAGAAGAGAGCACAGTTAAGTTCAGTCTTACTTGCAACTTGAATCTAATTCAATTAACAAACCTTTGTTTAACTCCCTGGGTTGGAAATACTCCCTATTCTTTACTTCAGTGTTTTCCAAAAGGAATATTACTAGCATTTTGGATGGAAAAACTCTTTCTTTATACTCCACTGCAGTACACTCTCCTCTATACAACTGTCTATAGAACAGATGATAATAAGTACCATGTAATACACTATGTTTAGAATTTCTGGACCCCACCTACAAAAATAAGTAGCACATCCCAGTCATTGTGACAACCAAAAAAATATCCCCAAATATATTTCCAAATGTAGATCAGAAGGTAGCAATGCTCTGGCTTGAGGACCAGGGAATATTAGCACAGATAGTTTCTTTACTGCTTGAATAAACAAAGTATTTTGTTTTATGTGATTTGCTCTATAGCATCCTTTTAATTAAAAGTTGATTCCTTTTTGGAAGGGAGATTAATATTCCTTAGCTTCTTCTAAAAGAAGAAGCATATATTTGTTTCCACAGTAGCAAGTGAAGAAAGGCCATTTCACAAGTAAGTTGAGAGCACAGACTGTATCTCCCAGATAGAGGAAACCTTGAGAAATTTAACACTGTATCATAGTTTTAGATAGAATGGAATAGTTACATTAACAAGTATATTGTACTTAATAAATGTGTTACCTTTTCTTTTTTAAGTGCGTAACTTAAAAAAGAGTCCCACTTGGTCAGAGGTATGGTCCTCCCAGCCCAGAGTGCATGATTCTAGAATTGTGGGATGCAATAATGCTCTCCTAGACGTCTACTCGTGACTTACATACATAGTCATGTAAATATGACGAGTATGGAAAAGCTTTTCATAATAAAGCAAGCCTTTCGAGGCATTTAAGGAAACATATCAGAGAGAGGAAAAGATAGAACTCTGATTTAGGCTTCCCCCAGCCTAAAGGCTGACCTTTACAGGCACTGAGGGGAAAAACCAGGACATAATTATGCGAGGTTTCAATAGCAGCTCCTTCCCTCGCTCCAGTGTTTGCTTCAACACCACCAAGCAGTTAGCCGAATCCTGATGCTACCTGCCTGGTGATGTAAGCAAAATGTTAGAAATGATTAAGAAGCGTTATTTGTTATTTCTAGAAACTGTCTTGGTTTTTAGGATGCCACTCTCGTTGGATTATTTGTGCTACACACTGAAGAGTGGCTTGGGTCAAGCCTTGTGTACAGTTCCTTGCTTCTACCTGGCGTAAAGGTGAGTAAGATGCTCTTGGGCACAATCTAGAGACGAGGCACACAGTAAGTGTGCAGTTACAAAGCAAGGTGGCAAGTGCTCTCACGAAGGGGAAGCGCAGAGCTGCTGGGGCATCTGACCCTAAGACGGTCAAACAGAAAGTTCCACGGGCGATAGGCTGATGCGGCTCTTATCACACGAGTACAGATGGCCAGACAGGGCAAGGGAGGCAGATAAGAACTTTTCAGACAGAATCCATGTACAAAGTCATGGAGGCAGTCTTTAAATGGTGCCGTTGGACCACAGAAGTGCGGATTGGGTAGGAAGGGAAAAGGAAACGGGGCTGGAGAAGCAGGTGAGGCCCTGAAGAGTCCTGTCGCCAGGCTGACGAGCTGAGCCGTCAGCAGGTGCTAAGCAGGCACGTGACGCTGGCTTTGGGTTTCAGGACCGTCACTGTGGTGACGGTGTGCATGACGGGAACCGCTGGAGGCTCGGAGACCACAAGAACCATCCAGGGGAGCTCTCAGGAGGCAGGTGGAACTTGTTGGCTGGCTACGGGACCGAACTGGTGGAAGAAGCGCCCTGAGGTGACTCGCATGCTTCTGACCAGAGGGCTGCTTTCTGCTTCCCTCTCATCTCTCTCATCTTCCCCTGACTTTTCCGGTGTTCTCACAGAGCTTACTCCACTACCAGCTCCACTTTTCTTCCCGATAACTTGGCTGGCTCACAAATCTTACCATTTAATCTTTCTTGCTTATATATATATGTTCACTTATACATTCATAAATATACATTGCTAGTCCTCATGCTGCCTAAGCTCAAGTTTTTTATTTTGGCAAAGAAGGTCTAAAGCCTCATTTCACTTGGATGTTCCATTTCCTTTGCACTGTTCAAAATGATCATATTCTGCCAAATCAGCTTCTTTTCTCAATGTTTCCTTTCAAGATGGAACTAGCTTTTCCCACAACTTACAGGCTGGAAATACTTGGTTTGGTTCTCTCCTAGGTTCAAACTCTTGGACGTACACAAAGATCACAAAATGAGCCTATAGTAGGGACAAAAGGGGAAGATGAGGCAGCCGTCCGAGGAAGCCCGGGTTGCTTGGGCATCTCATCTCTAAGAGTAATGTGTGCAGGAATCGTATTACAGAGACAAAGCAAGACTTATCTAAGATGGTAGGAGGGTGATTACAGAATAAGACAGTAAGATTTTTGTTACTAAACTTGCCACTCTGCCCAACCTGTGGTGAGCTGCAATGCATTTTCTTCAAACATCTATCTCCCTTGAGGACCTCTGTGGCTCTATGGGCTTTCTTTTTTCTTTTATTTTTTTAAGACTTTATTTATTTATTTGACAGAGAAGAGAGAGAGCATGAGCAGGGGGAGCTGCAGGAAAAGGGAGAAGCAGGCTCCTCACTAAGTAGGGAGCCCTATGCGGAACTCGATCCCAGGACCCTGAGATCATGACCTGAGCCAAAGGCAGAGGCTTAACCGACTGAGCCTCCCAGGTGCCCCTCTACGGGCTCTCTGCCCACCTTTCTACTCTAAGTAACAACCAGTGTCCCCTGCCTCCAAGTCACATGCCGCTCTTCAGGTAGCAGTGATCCCTACAGACTGCACCTGTCTTTCTTCTCTACAGCATGAGCACGTACTACCCCCACATTTCTTCCCCCACCCAGCCTGGAGGCCATTGTACCGAACACAGCTCTTGCACAGGTATTTCTCATGACTTCTTTGAGGGCAGCAAAACTGAAGAACAATAAAGTTGGAAGACCTTTCGAAACTCTTTGACTTCAAACCTGGCCAGAAAGTTACAGAAATCAAGACAGTATTGTATTGGTGAGAGAACAGATTGAAAGAACAGAATAAAGAGCACAGAAATAGAACCACAAAAATATAGGCGGCAATCTTCGATAAAAACACAAAGGCAATTCTGGTTTTTTTTTAGATTTTATTTTTTTATGTAATCTCTACCCCCACTGTAGGGCTCAAACTCATGACCCAGAGATCAAGAGTCACATGCTCTCTTGACAGAGCCAGCCAGGCACCCCCCAAAACAAAGGCAATTCAGTGGAGAAAGAATAGTCTTTTCAGCCAGTGGTGCCGGTACAACTAGGTATGCACATGCAAAAAACAAAACAAAAATAAGAAGGAAGGAAGGAGGGAAGGAAGGACGGAGACAGAAAGAAAGAGAAAAAGAAAAAAAAGGAATCTAGGCACAGACTTTATAACTAGCACAAAAATTAACTCAAAATGCATCACAGACTTAAATGTAAAACACAAAACTATAAAACTTCTAGAAGATAGCAGCGGGGGAAATCTAGGTGAGCTTGGCTTTGGTGATAACTTTTTAGATACAACACCAAAAGCATGATCTGAGAAAGGAAGAAATTGGTAAGTTGGCTTCATTAAAACTAGTAACTCTCACTCTGCAGAAGTCACTACTAAGAGAATGAAAAGACAAGCTTAGCATGGGAGAAAATATTTACAGAACATGTATCTGACAAAGGACGTGTATCCAAAATATACTTAAAACTCAACAATCAGAAGACAAACAACCCAACCTACAACCCTAAAAAACCCTACCCAACAACCCTAAAAAATCAGGATAAGATCTAAACAGACACTTCACCACATAAGATACACAGATGGCAAGTAAGCATATGGAAAAATGCTCGACATCATAGGTCATTTGGGAATTGCAAATTAAAACAATGAGATACCACCATGTATCTATTAGAATGGCTAAAATCCAAAAAACCCTGACAATACCAAACAGTATTAAGGATGTGGAGCAAAAGGAACCTTCATTCACTGTTTGTGGAAATGCAGAATGGTACAGCCACTTTGCAAGAGAGTTGGAAGTTTCTTACAAAGTTAAATACAATGTTACATATGATCCAGCAATTGTATTCCAGATATTTACCCAAATGAGTTGAAAACATAAAGCTCGCACATAAATATTTATAGCAACTTTATTCATAATAAAGTTGCCGAAACCTGGAAGCAACCAAGACGTGCGTCAAAAGGGGAATGGATCAGCAAACTGTTATACGCATAAAATGGAATATTATTCAGTGATTTAAAAAAGCTATCAAGCCACAAAAAGGCAGGGAGGAACCTTAAATGCATACTTCTAAGTGACAGAAGGCAGTCTGAGAGGCTACATACTGTGTGATTCCAACTACATGACAGCCTGGGAAAAGCAAAGCTACAGAGACAGTAACAGGAACAGTGCTTGCCTTGGGCTCAGCTGA